TGTGTATTTTATTTCTTAGATTTCTTGTAACTTTTAAACCGTTTGATACATTTGAATGATGAATTTGACAAGTTTGTTCAAAATTAAATAATCTAGAACTTTGTCTTACATTATAAAGTCCTAAAGCAATCCGGTGTACTTTTAATTTAAGCAAGAAAACTTGAAAATTAGTTTAAAATTAGAAATTTATGAAATCTTGAAAGACATAAAACCCTATTGTTTTTCGAGTACATAACTATGATATTCGTAAAGTGCTCGTCGAGACCTTTCATTTGATACCCCACATGCATTTTAACCATATGACGTCATCAAGGGTCCTTTTGACCCGCTGTGCTATATATAGTACGACCACATCAACAGACTTGGCAGAATGGTGCATTTGTTTACTATTGGATTTATTGTTTTGGAACCCGATTTATTTTTAGAGTGTTTAAGTTAGATATTAGTAAAGTGCTCGTCGAGACCTTTCATTTGATACCCAACATGCATTTTACCATATGACGTCATCAATGAGCTTTTAGACCCGCCGTACTATATATAGTTCAGCACAATCAGCACATGTAATTAACTCGCGTAAATTCATTATATGTCTCGTAACTTTTAAACCGTTTGTCTAAAGTTAATAAAATATTCGGTGAATTTGTTCAAAAATAAATATACTATAAACTTTAAGAACGATTATAGTATAAAATAATAAAATTCGAAATTAAATTGATAAATAATTTTTACTTATAATAATAACTCTAGTTATTATAATATACTCTTAATGCATAGTTAAGTGTGACTAAATTCAATTACAGAAACAACAATTATTACGAACATTACATATAATGACAAACAAATTAAATCTATTAATGCTCTATCAAATATAAAAAGAACTCTACTGACAACAAACATTAATATTAACTTTTAAGTGATACCTAAAAAAGGACTCTACTTACAAGCAAAGTCACAACACATGAGAAAAAGTGACGGATTGCAATTAAATTTAATTCGCCATTTAAAGCGATTGCTTTGAAAATTACTATTTTATATATATTGACCTAATCGCTGCGAGTATTTTGCATATTTGAATTATATAGCAACTGCAACGATTTTGAGGCAAAAGTGCAGGAATTGCAAATATGAAAACAGAGTTTGTCTTAAGCGGTGTTGAATCCTAACGTTAAAAATACTTTCGTGCCAAATTATGCGCACGAAAAACCTTTATCAAATTTCTTCTTAATCAAAAGAAAAACAGTTTAAAATCGCTCGTAAATTTTCTATGACAAGATCTTTTTACAAAAATTACGTAACGCCCAATCGGACACGTCACGACGAATCGACGTCAAGGAATGAACCGGAAATAAAGTGACGGAAGTGAGGCGGAAATTCCTTTAAGAACTTCCTTCCTTGCACTTCCTTGTTTGTTTGTTTTACTTCCGTGAAGTTAAACTTTTAAATGTTCTTTTGATAAGTGTCGCGGAAGATAGATGAGGATAAACGATGACCGGCTTTTTGTTACTGAACACTTTATATTTTAACTCATTAAGTTTTACAAATGTTATATCGCAATATACAAGTATAGATATTAGTATTTGAAATAACCCTATCTAATTTCATCAGCGTAAATAAATTTTCGCAAATAAATAAATTTCGAATGCGAATTAATGTCTTTTTTCGAACGAGTGCGAGTACGTGTTCGTATTGCTCCCAAGGCGACGATGAATTTTAAGTGTTAATTTGTTTTATATATCGATATATACATTTGTATATATATATATATATATGCGTATGTGTACATATGTGTATAATAAACATTGCCATTTACTGATTGCAATGAAATTTAATTCGCCATTTAAAGCGATTGCTTCGAAAATCACCATTTATGTGGAGTATTTTGCATATTTGGTGCATCCTGCAACGATTTTGATGCAAAAGTGCATCCGGACATAAAAACTAGGAAACACGAACATTAAGGGTTAAATTAAATTATCAAGGTGGTTAAGTAGTATTGTGTCTCAAAAAGTTGCGTGATTTTTCTTTTAAGAAACTCCACTAAATAGACTATTAAAAGGCTAAGTAAAAGCCTGATATTAATTTACACTAATAGTGTTTTAAATCTAATTTCAATTTGTTCGTCAGTAGAATCTATTTAATTCTAAAAATCCGGATTCAATTTGCTCATCAGTAAGTCGCTTTTAAATTGATTTTTGTTTAAATTTAAAGAAAAAGCCAACATTTTGCTTGTTGGTAGAGTCAATTATGGAATTATTAAATTGGTATTGAATTTATGAATAAGATTGAAATTTTACAAATTAATTTAGCCGTTTGAATATCACTTAGTGATTTGCAATTGTGTAATTTATTAACCAAAGAAGGGACTCTACTTCTAAGCAAAATCTGCTTCCTCTACAAAATTATTAGCATATTTTATACTTGTTCATACTTATTACAATTACATACAAAAATGCTCCATACTTATTAAAAATTCAAAGTAAAACAAACTCAAGCGGTTAAATTAATTTATAAATTTCAATCTTATTTATAAATTCAATACCAATTTATAAAACTAAAAATTGACTTTACTAACAAGCCAAATTTCGGCTTTTTCTACAAATTTAAAATTTTTAAAAAGGACTCTACTGACGAGCAAATTGAAACTGGATTTTTAGAATTAAATGGGACCTTACTGGCAAGCAAATTCAGACTGAATTTTTAGTATTAAAAGGGACTCTACTGACGAGTAAATTGAGACTGAATTTTTAGTATTAAAAGGGACTCTACTGACGAGCAAATTGAAACTGGATTTTTAGTATTAAAAGGGACTCTACTGACGAGAAAATTGAAACTGGATTTTAGTATTAAAAGGGACTCTACTGACGAGTAAATTGAGAC